GTATTTATAGACCAAAGGAGCGGCACACATGGACCAGGAGTACCGACGAAATAAGCCTGACAAAGAAAACAGTGAAAGGACAGGACTCAATAATGGACGACTCAGGCGAGAGGAAAACAGTGCTCGAAGACGGGCATATTCGGAAGAATATACCATCACAGTACAACCCGTGAACAAAAAGCATTTAAACTCAACCACCACCATACAACTACATCTGACAGCAGCAGACTATCAAAGAATACGCCAAGACCTCGCATCCGAGTTCTTCCTGAACAAAACAACACGGATATACGCTCGGGGGCTCGGCTAGCATCACAGCTTAATCAACACTAAGCTAGGGAATTCGGCCCTCATTTCAACTACTCCCGGGGGCTCAGAACCAAAGACAAAAGACAAAAAGTACAAGAAACTCAAGACTACAACGACAACGACGCATCAAGACTCTTCAACCGACTTCTTTTTCAAAAGAAAAGAACTCGGAGAAAGCACGAGGTCATGGATATGTGAGCCCTGCATTTTTTGAAGACAGGAATCTGGACCCTCCAACTTTTGCAAGCAAAAGCAAGAGGCTCGGGGGCTACACTCAGTGAGTGCAATTTTTATGAAAAATTGCACCCACCAACAAGAACCCGGATATAGGCTCGGAGGCTGCACACCGTGAAACTACTCGGATGATGGTTTAATCCAAGACTAAAGGACCGCTTCGGAAAGATACCACAAAAACTACTCGAATGAGGACAAAATTCAAGTCTCAGGGACTACTTCAGAGCACAGATTTTCAAACAAACATAAAGGATCAAGACCCTCCAACTTTTTGTTCTAAATAGCAAGAGGCTCGAGGGCTACACTCAGTGAGTGCACTTTTTCTCCTAAAAAGCGCACGTCACCAAAAGACTTCCTCAACGCAGACTACTTCAAGACATTATGACAAAAAGAACCCGGAACGAGCCATATTCGAGTTCTTTTTGACAAAACTTCAACGAACAATCAGAGCAACTTCAAGACTAGATCCTCCAGCTCCTTGTTCCAAATAGCAAGAGGCTCGGGGGCTACAACCAGATGGATGTACTTTTTTCTTCACAAAACACTCACCACTCGAAGGTCCCAAGAAGCGCTACAAGGTTTCACTCTAGAAAGCACTCGGATAACATTTTGTTCCTACCTAACAAGACTTGAAGGAGCAAAGCGAGACTTTCAGAGCTCAACCATGAAGTGCTCGGGGGCTTGTCGATGCGGGACCCACAGGATACCCTGCAAGAGAGAGAGAAGATCTAGTTCAACTAGGATTCTTCCCATGTAACCTTAGTAATAGAACTATTAAGTAATCCTACTAGCAAATCTCATTGTGAACCGACTAGGACTCTGGCCTCCTGACTATATAAAGGAGGGTAGGGCTCCTGAAAGAGTAAGAACAATTGTACAACATAACACTTCATAATCAATCCAACGCAAAAGGCAAACGCCGACTGAACGTAGGGTCGTTACTCGATCTACGATCGAGGGCCTGAACCAGGATAAATCGACTGTCTCTTGCTTTTACCATCGAGTTCAGCATACGCCGAAGCCCGAACGATACTGCCACGGTACCCCTGTGGCAGGCTATCGGTGGTAAAACATCGACACTCTGCCTCTTCTTCCTTTGACAGATTGCTTCCGATGATGACTTTCCTATCCAATACCATGTTTTCCAATGGTACTGCCTTGGTCTCTTTTTGATCTCTAAGATCTATTTTACCCTTCAGCATTTCCGGAGGCTATAGCGTGTTGTTCTTTGCTGATTTGCAGAGTTAATGTTGCGTTGTGTTTTGTAGATGGCTCTCTCTATGTTTCTTTCCTCTTTCTGACTGTCGTGGACCGTGATGATGCCATGCAGAGCTGGCATTTTCATAAACAAGTAGCCATATGGATGGATGTATTGAACTTATTTGTAAACCCTCTGCCATAGATGGCGTTATATGGGTATTTGAGGTCTACTACGTCGAAGGTCACGTACTTTGTTCTTGCATTTTCCTAGCCTTTGAAGGACACGGGTAAAGAGATTTTTTCCAACACATTGATTTTCTTTCCTCCAAAACCGATTAGTGGGGAGTCCGAAGGCTGCAACTGGATTTTGCTCAACTTCATCTAGTCGAATGTGTTAACGAAGATGATATCTGTAGAGCTTCCAAAGTCTATCAGAACCCTATTGATTTCCTAGCCTGCTATATTGGCCTTAACCACCATGGCATCAGCGTGTGGGTAGCTCTCCAATTGTAGTTCTTGCTCTGAAAATGTAATGGGTGTCTTCGACCAATCTGTGCAGCACACTGGGCCCTGGACTGCCATGTTGTTGACGAGCCTAAGGTGGTCCTTCTTTTGTTTCTTTGTCTATAACTCCATTGAAGAGCCTCCGGCTATTGGTAGTATCGTGCCTATCGTAGACAAGGGTGTGTGTGGGTTAAGCTGGTTTTCTGGGTTAGGCTCATTTTTGGGTGCAGCTAACTGCGGTGCGGTGGGGGTGGAGGCGGAGGTAGTGCTTCGGGCTGTCTGTTGTGAGTTTGAGATGGCTAGTTTGTCTCAATAAATGTTATGTGCGGAGGCCTTGGGTTTATATAAGTGAGGTTAGCTTCTGCGCGCTGGCTACTAGCCTGTCCTTGCTGCTGGTGCTTGGTCGCCATGCGGGCAAGAAGTTAGGGTAGTACGCGGTTGCTAAGGTGGATGGGTGAATTTGATTGGAGTTAAGGCTTGGGTATATGGGGCAGTATGGCTACCGAGGAGTAGCAGCGTAGGTGTGGTTTACCTCTCTTGCGGGCTGTTGTGGCAGAGGCTATGGATTTGCTCTGTTCTTTATTCTTTCTTGAGTTTCCTTGGCGTCTGGGCAATCCCTGATGACATGCCCTTTGTTTCCTCTATGAAAAAAACAATATTGCCTTCGCTGCCTTTGGTCCTGGTTCTTGTTCCATTTCTTCCCTTGGCCATATCTCTTGCCTTCATAGTGCTTCTAGGGCGCGTTGTTTGGACCTGCCTTTCGATGCATCTTGACCTTGCTGGCTGTTTTCTTGTTGCTCTATGTTGAAGACTTGGTGATCTGACCCTTGCTGAGGCTGTGGCTAGCTTTGGCTTCTGTTGCCGCTTTGAGCATTTCTGATATTTCCTTGGTATTGTTTGTTCTAGTTCTGCTCTTCTAGCCTTCTGCGGAGGTCATTATCTGATATGCAATATTTCTCAAATTCACTGTATAATTCCTCTATGGTGCTTCGCTTCTCTTGAGCTAGATGAGCTGCAAAGGCTCCAATATGGAGGCCTTTGATTGCGGCTTTAATTGTCACATCCTCTGGGACATTTGGTGCATTCGCTTTTTGCTGCACAAATCTCTGAAAATAATCCCTTAGGGTCTCGCCTTGATTTTGCTTATACTAGAATAGGTCCATCGAAGTCAAGGATTGAGTGGTGAACCCTTTGAAGTTGGTTATGATTTTGTTGTGGAGATCTTCCTAAGAATATACTGAACTTGGCCTCAACATAGAATACCTATGAAAAGTAATCTAAAAGTCTAAATTAACTTAAATTTACATCTAATTACCTATCGCCCATTATGATATATAATCTACGTGACCCCTTAAATTTTCATCTAAATTGCCACTTTTGTCATTATTAAAAATACCAAAGTATCCCTTCAAATCTATATCAAAGTTACAAAAATTTGTTGTTATGAAAAATGATTCATAACCACATATTATACATATATACATTTCTAAATTACCCTATTAGTATTAATAATATATTTAAAATGATTAAGTAAACTTACATGTTGTATCGCGATGTAGATCAAGTACACGTGCATGCATGTGCGATGAATATATTATATATATGTTATGTTTTTTGCAATTATGAAAGATGTTCCCTTAACCGTTGATATATAGGAATAGTATTAACAATTTTTTAAAATTATATTAATATGATGACATATAATTTATAGAATTTGTTACTTTAGATAAAATTGTATTTTTTAACTGAATTGTGTAGTATATCTATATTGATTGTATAATTGTAGGAACTCTATTTTTATAATAAACTAATATTGCTACAGATATAATTCTTTGATAACAAAATCCAAATAACTTAGGAAGTGGGGGAGGTTAGTGAGAGCAATAGGCGGTAATACCTTTATGGTCTTTGTGATTCGATTGGAGTAAAAAGTGATGATAAGCCTTAGCACGGTTAGCCCATTCTAGATCATACTTCAAGCTCTATCATCGTTCTTGAACGATGGGGTACAGTTTTAATGACCATTTATGTCATCGCAGTATTTGTTTTTTGAATTATGTCTATATGATCTAAATTCCTTATAATATAAAATGAGAGTTAATAAAAGATAGATACAATAAGCATAAGAGTTCCAACTTAACTTGTAGATTAAAAAAACTATGGTGAGTATAAGATCAAAATTTGAAAAATCAAAATATATATTAATGAAGATATGGATTGTAACAAGAGCCACAATAATTTATGTTAGAATTTAATGCATATTGAAAATATATTGAGGTGCAATACAAAGAGAAAATAGAATAGGGGTTAGGATGGAAAAGCATATAGATCAATAATTGGTAAGATAATCACAACTAGATATGGATTATAAAGTATCTATGTGCCTATTGTGTTAGAAAATAAACAAAGAGAAAGAAACATAGAAATTAGTATAAGTAATTTTTATTAGTAGTAGGTATTAAACATCAACCTCTAATGTTTATGACTTGCAAGATTTTAGCACGGACTGAGTAGTAGTGATAGCTGAATCAAAGGGTCATGGCTATCCACACACTATAGTGCTAGATAACAAATTGTCCATCAGAGTATCTTTCACTAATCAGTGTGCGGGAAGACTTTGACTGTGAGTCGTTGGTCATTGTCTTTATTAGCGCATGCGCAGTGCCCACTGCCCACTGCCCTCTGGTTATAAGAATCTTCCAACTAAGTTCACTCACCATATAGTCTGAACGTGAAGAAGACACACCTCAACGATGACAAAAATAGCTCACTCCTATCTTCTACTCCTCTTCTTACTACTGTTCATCGCCTTCAACTGCAGCATGCAACGATCCATGGCGCAGACTGACGCCGGCGAGCTAGCAACACTCCTAACGATCAAGAAAGACTGGGGCAACCCATCCGCGCTCAGCTCGTGGAGTTCCCAGAACGCTTCCTACTGCAGCTGGAAAGGGGTCAGGTGCGTGAACGGCCAAGTGTTGTCCACCCTGTCCTTCCAAAATCTCAACATAACCAATCCAGTCCCAGCTTCCATTTGCAACCTCAAGAACCTGTCCTACCTAGACCTTTCCTACAACAACCTCACCGGACAGTTCCCGACAGCGCTCTACGGCTGCTCGGCTCTTCAGTTTCTTGACCTGTCCAACAATCACTTCTCCGGTGCCCTCCCAGCTGACATCGACAAACTGTCATCGGCGATGGAGCGCCTGAACCTGTCAAGCAATGGCTTCACAGGCAGCGTGCCGTTGGCAATCGCTGGGTTCCCGAAGCTCAAGTCGTTGGTGCTCGACACTAATAGCTTCAATGGGAGCTACCCGGGTGCCGCCATCGGCAACCTCACGCAGCTCGAGACGCTAACCCTGGCAAGTAACCCCTTCGCGCCAGGCCCCATCCCTGACGAGTTTGGCAAGTTGAAGAAGCTGAAGATGCTGTGGATGTCAGGGATGAACCTGACTGGTGGCATCCCTGACAACCTGTCGTCGCTCACTGAGCTGACGACTCTGGCTCTGCACGTAAACAAGCTCCACGGTGAAATCCCGCCGTGGGTTTGGAAGCTTCAGAAGCTTGAGATCCTGTACCTTTACGATAACAGCTTCATCGGTGCAATTGGGCCGGATATCACGGCCGTGAGCCTGCAAGCGATCGACCTGTCCACGAACTGGCTCACCGGGCACATACCGGAGAGCATCGGCAACTTGAAGAACTTGTCGTTGCTCTACCTGTACTTCAACAACCTCACCGGGCCGATCCCCTCGAGCGTCGGGCGGCTCCCGAACCTCGCGGACATCCGGCTGTTCAGCAACAGGCTCTCCGGCCCCCTCCCGCCGGAGCTCGGGAAGCACTCGCTGCTCGGCAACCTTGAAGTGAGCAACAACTTCCTCAGCGGCGAGCTGCCGCACACCCTCTGCTTCAACAAGCAGCTCTACGACATCGTGGTCTTCAACAACAGCTTCTCCGGCGTGTTCCCGGCGATCCTCGGGGACTGCGAGACGGTGAACAACATCATGCTGTACAACAACCACTTCACCGGAGAGTTCCCCAAGAAGGTATGGTCGGCGTTCCCAGACCTGACGACTGTTATGATTCAGAACAACAGCTTCACTGGCACTATGCCCAGTGTGATATCCTCCAAAATCACACTGATCGAGATGGGGAACAACCAATTCTCCGGCGACGTGCCGACCTCCGCGCCGGGGTTGAAGAATTTCCGGGCGGAGAACAACCAATTCTCCGGTCCTCTAACGAACAACATGTCGGGGTTCGCCAACCTCACGGACCTGTACCTCGCCGGGAACCGGATATCTGGCTCGATTCCACCTTCCATCCAATCACTGGGAGCTCTGAATTACCTGAATCTTAGCAGCAATCAGATATCTGGGCTACTTCCGGCAGAGATCGGGTCGCTGCTGGTGCTCACCATCCTTGATCTCTCCAACAACGAGCTCACCGGAGAAATACCTCAGGAGTTCAACGACCTCCATCTCATTTTCCTCAACCTCTCTTCCAACCAACTCACCGGCGAGCTCCCCCAGTCGCTGCAGAGCCCGGCGTTCGAAGACTCGTTCCTCGGAAACCCTGGCCTCTGCGCCGCGGTGAACCAGAATATAAACATCCCGGCGTGCCGCTACCGCCGCCACAACCAGATGTCAACTGACCTGGTCATCCTGTTCTCCGTGCTCGCCGGCGCCATCCTCATCGGTGCCGTCGGGTGTTTCATCGTCCGGCGGAAGAAGAACGGGCGCGACGTGACGTCGTGGAAGATGATGGCGTTCCGCAAGCTGGACTTCAGCGAGTGCGACGTGCTCACCAACCTCCGCGAGGAGGACGTGATCGGCAGCGGCGGCTCCGGCAAAGTGTACCGCGTCCACCTCCCGGGACGCGGGCGCGGGCGCGGCTGCGGCGGCACGGTGGTGGCCGTGAAGAAGCTGTCGAGCAGGGGGAAGGCCGAGGAGAAGCTCGACCGGGAGTTCGACACGGAGGTGAAGATCCTGGGCGACATCCGGCACACCAACATCGTGAGCCTCCTCTGCTATATCTCGAGCGAGGACACCAAGCTGCTGGTGTACGAGTACATGGAGAACGGCAGCCTCGACCGGTGGCTACACCCCAAGGACAACAACGCGGCCACGGCGGCGCTGGACTGGCCGACGCGGCTGGGCATCGCCATCGACGCGGCGAGGGGGCTCAGCTACATGCACGACGAGTGCGCGCAGCCCATCATGCACCGGGACGTCAAGTCCAGCAACATCCTACTCGACCCGGGGTTCCGTGCCAAGATCGCCGACTTCGGCCTCGCTCGGATCCTGCTCAAGTCCGGCGAGCCCGAGTCCGTGTCCACCGTCGGCGGCACCTTCGGGTACATGGCTCCAGGTACGTACGTCATTAGTCGCAAGACAGTCACCGGCGGCCAACCCTTCTGGTCTTCCCAGGAGGCTTAAATGAATCGACACTCTGCTGATCTGCTCTGGTTGGGACTGGATGCAGAGTGTGGACGCCGCGCGAAGGTGAACCAGAAGGTGGACGTGTACAGCTTCGGCGTGGTGCTGCTGGAGCTGGTGACCGGGCGGGTGGCCAACGACAGCAGCAAGGACGCCGCCGAGTGCTGCCTGGTGGAGTGGGCGTGGCGGAGGTACAAGGCGGGGGGACCTCTCCACGACGTCGTCGACGAGAGCATCCAGGACAGGGCCGTGTACGCTGAGGACGCCGTGGCCGTGTTCGTGCTCGGGGTCATGTGCACCGGGGACGACGCGCCGTCCCGGCCGTCCATGAAGCAAGTGCTGCAGCAGCTCGCCCGGTACGACCGCACCGCCAGCGTTGCCGGCGCGTGCCGGGACGGCCGCGACGTCGAACTGGGACAAGTGCCCAAGGGGAACCAAGGTCGCCACCAAGCTACCAAGAGATCGTATGACGTCGGAGCGTTCTTGGGTGGCGACGTGGAGAGCGGCAACTTCGTGGCTCGCTTTAGCTTATCTTTTCAGTATGGCGTTAAATCTTCCTAGAATGTAAATTATATATGTGGCTTCTTGTAATATGTGCTGCGTGGACATGACCAAAAATAATTGAACCTCGCGCTTTTCTTCTTGATGCAAAGATCCCTCTTTAATTACGGGTATTTATATATTTACCACGGTTACGGATGGCATCTTACACTGTCTCACTAACACATAAGTTACTAACATGGTATTTTTTATACCACTCACATCGTAATGATGGTAAATATGTAAATATTCCCTTTAATTAACCCTCACTATGACCCCGAGGCTCCAGAGATCTTCCTGTCCAAACAAGAGCATGGTCTTTTTCTGGCTTCTACTTAAGGGCCTCAATCTACCGAAAAAGAAAAAGATGATTTTGGAGGATTACAATTGTGTGATTTGTAATTTGTCCACAGAAGAAAGTCTCTTCATCTCTTCCTCGAATGCGTATTCCAGTGGCTTGTTGGGGCCGTTTGGGGTTAGTCATCCCTCAACTTGCAGATCCTTTTCATGCTATTGCTTCTTTCATAAATCAGCTTCGTCTGCCTTTCTTTATGGAAGTGATCATCACCATGTGTTGGGCTAGTTGGTCAGTATAAAATGATGCAATATTTCAGCAAGTGCAACTATCCATTCAACATGGCAAAAGGCATTTCAAGACAGATTTTGCTCAATTTATTCTTGGAGCAAAGAAAGTTTATGAACCTCAAATTAGTCAATGGCTAGAAGCTTATGTGTAATCTTCTTGATTTTCTTTGTTTCCTTTTTTGTTTCATAGACCTGTTGTGTAAAACCTTTTGTTTGCAATAAAAGATCAGTAGGAGGTATCCCCTCCTGTTTCCCTAAAAAAACAAAAGACTTATCCCAAAATCTTGTAGCTTCAGAAAAACTAAAGAAAATTTGGAATACTAATGATAAAAGAAAATCTTCAGCTCTTATATGCAACTCTATTGCTTTACTTAGAGTCAGCAAGGTAAAAAACAATTACTTAATGTCGGTGTTTTCTAAACCGCACTAGTAAACTTATACGATTACCGTGCTGCTCTAGGAAGACAATGGTAGCATCCAGTAGACACGAGGATTTATACTGGTTCAGGCCGGAGCCCTATGTCCAGTCTTAGAGATGATCGAGTGCGTATTTATTGGTGTTTCGAATCACCGACTAATAAATTTGTGATTTGCGCGTCTGGCCCGGATGGTGTGCTCGGAGGACACAAGAATTTATACTGGTTCGGGCGGAATGTCCCTACGTCCAATCTGTTGCTGCTCGTGTTACCGGCACTAGTTTGTAGTAGGGGTTACAAACAGGCGAGAGAAGGAGCAGGTCCCAAGTCTCTGGTGAAAGAGTCGAACGGAGTTGAGTCTCGTTGAGCCCGTCGAGCCGTCGAGCCGTGCCCTTCGTGGGGCGTCCTGCTTCTCCTTTTATAGATGAAGGGGAAGGCACAAATTACACGAGAGAGAGAGAGAGAGAGAGAGAGAGAGAGAGAGAGAGATAAGCGAGGAGGAAGAAGGCCTCCGGGGTCGCGGCGCCCTTCATCTCCTTTACGCGGGTCCCACCGATCATGTGGATGATGTCGAGGATGGCTCCACGTCGTGACCCTTTTCATCACTGACGCTATACGCGGGCATCGTCAGCCGGTCGTGGCGCTCGATTCTGTCTCGACGGGCGACATGGTTAGTAGATACCATGTACGGAGATTTGGTAGCATAGCGCCGGCAAGTACGACACTGTTGGCGACGTGAGTCCTCATGTATGGCCTGTCGTGGCCACGGGTCACGTCAAGATTCGCCTACTCCCTTTCTGGTGTCAGAAGTTTGACCCTGAGTTCGTACTCTTAGACCCGTACTGGTTGGGGGCGGTACGGACCCCTGTCGGGAGAGGTAGAATCCCCCTTCGAGATCGGGCGAGACGGAGCCCGCGCCCTCGGGGTCAGGCATGACCGAGCCTGCACCCTTAGGGTCGGGCGACACGGAGCCCGCACCCTTGGGGTTGGGCGAGACGAAGTACGTACCTTCAGGGTCGTTGAAAGCTCTAGTTTAGTTTTGGTGAATTAATGAAACCCTAAGTGCTAACCTAATTTATCAAAGTAATCATGAGATATGTAGCATATTCCAAGTGGTGAAGCAAATGAAGATCATGACATGATGATGGTGATGCCATGGTGATGATCAAGTGCTTCGACTTGAAAAGAAGAAGGAGAAAAACAAAAGGCTCAAGACAAAGATATAAGTGGTAGGAGTCATTTTGTTTCGGTGATCAAGACACTTAGCGAGTGTGATCACATTTAGGTTCGATAGTCGTACTATTAAGAGGGGCGAAACTCATATCAAAATACAGTTATCAAAGTGCCACTAGATGTTCTAACTCATTGCATATGCATTTAGGATCTAGTGGAGTGCTAACACCCTTAAAAATATTTGTGAAAATATGCTAACACACACGTACAAAGGCGATACACATTGTGTTTAGCACTTGGGAGCAAGGGTAAGAAACTTCACCGGCGAAGTGTACCAGACGCTAGTCTCAACTGGTGCCACCGGCGCCCTGTACAGAAAAGACAGGGTTTCACAGAGTGCACCAGACGCTGGTCTCAACTGGACCGGAGCGTCCAGTCAGTGGAAGCAGTGAAGAAGCTAGCGTCGGTCTTCGACCGGACGCTGGATGGGTGCGTCCGGTCCCGCTGACGTGGCAGCGCACAAAGGAGACAGTGTGTGACCGGATGCTGGGTGAGTCCGGTCGGGCATGACCGGACGCGTCCGGTCGCCTCTGGAACCTTACTAGAAACGACCGGATGCTGATGTTGGTGCGTCCGGTCACTTCGAGTAGCACGTCCGGTCATCACTTGACCATTGGGATCGGACGCTTAGTATTTGAAGAGAGGGATGATGTGGCAGCCATCCGTTGGCCGGACGTTGGCAGGGTGCGTATGGTTGATCTGACCGGAGCGTCCGGTCACCCCGAGTTGTGCCTAGTGAAGGGGTACAACGGCTCTATTTCATGGGGGCTTTTTTTTAAGTCCCATGGCCAGCTCAAGCTCACTCTCTTGGCCATTTGCATTGACATAACAACCTTGTGAGCTTAGCCAAAGCCCTCCCACTCATCTCCATCATTGATTCATCATCTTTGTGAGATTGGGAGAGAATCCAAGTGCATTGCTTGAGTGTTTGCATCTAGAGGCACTTGGTGTTCGTGTTTCACTGTGGGATTCGCTTGTTACTCTCAGTGGTTGCCACCACCTAGATGGCTTGGAGCAGCGAGGATTGTCGAGCGGAGGTTGGTGATTGTCTCTGGCTCCGATCGTGGTGATTGTGAGGGGTTCTTGACCTTTCCCCGGTGGAGAGCCAAAAGGTACTCTAGTAAATTGCTCGTGGCTTGTGTGATCCTCATCTTATGTTGGTTGTGCAGCACCCTATTGAGGGTTTGGTGTGTGATGCCAATTAGCGCGTGAACCTCCAAGTGAGTGTATCGCCACAACGAGGACTAGCTTGCCGGCAAGCAAGTGAACCTCGGTAAAAAATCATTGCGTCATCATTTGATTCCGAGGTGATTGGTCTTCATTAGTATTCATTCTTGTGATTGATTGGTTCATTCCTCAACTCTGCAGTATAACCATCTTGCTCTCTCTCTTTACATTACCGCAAACTAGTTGTCAAGCTCTTTAGTGTAGCTAGTCGTGAGAGCTTGTTAGTTTGGTTAGTGTGGCTTTTTAGTTAGCCTTTGAGAGCACACTAACTTAGTGTAGTGACATAGCCATTGTGTGGACAGAGACTATACAAACTAGAATTGTGGTAGGTGGCTTGCATTTTAGTAGGCTAGCACAACACTCTCTTTGCCTCATATTTGTCTAACCGGTTTGCTAAGTGTTGTTGTAGAAATTTTTATAGGCTATTCACCCCCCTCTAGCCATTAGGACCTTTTAGTCGGGCGAGACCAAAATACACTCTTGAATGTCCATCCTCGAGAACACCCACCTCGGTATGTTCCTGTTCCGCCTGTGGTTGATGTCTTGGTTTTTCCTTTCCCTTGCTTCTGAACTTGTCGTGCTTTTTCCAGAACTAGGCGGAAATCTTGGATCTCTGGAGCGGGAGCTGGAGACAGCCAAGGCGGCGATTGGTCGGAGCACGGAGGCGCTAGCCAAGTCCCTTGAAGAGCGATGTGCTCTCAAGGAAGAGCTCGATTAGATCCACAACGTCGCCCAGTTCATTGTTTCAGAGGTGTTCGGGTCGGCGTTGAGCACTAGCATGCCCGCCATCCAGCTAGCAGAGGTCCCGAATGAGGTTCGGGTACTCATGTCCAACGGGATGTTCTACGGGACATCGGGGGTGCTGACCTCAGTGACGACGCACCACCCGAGCCTGGACTTCGCTGCCATCTGCGGGGGCTACACCAACGACTGGAGCGCGAACGTCATCCATGCGCTCGGGAAGAGCTTGGTGCCATACGCACATGGTTGTCGAGCAAGTCTCTGCGTAGTGGGTGATGGAGACTCACCATGCGAGCGTGGCTGAAGGCGTGCGTCAAGAAGATGTCATTCAGCCTGCGGATGGAGTGGAGGTTGGGTCGGAAGCGAGCATCGTCTCGCCTCCGACCGAACCGAATGTCGCCCCATCGGAGAGCGAGCAGCCCTTATCTTTGTCGGTCGCGCCGTCAGCCAATGCTACCGGGCGGCCATAATAGAATTTAGGGCAGAAATAGTCAACAAATGTAAAGTATAAGTTCGTGGGTGAGCCCCCGTGTGAACAATTTGTTTGTATTCATGAATACATTAGTTTTGTTTTGTGATGGAATCACTTATAAGGGGAAGCATGTCCCATCCGTTCTTTGTTTTTATCCTAGCATAGCTTTGTTTTTATCCTTTTTTGCACCTGTCCATTTGACTCGTAGGCTACAACCTTAAGAACCCGGGCGTGGCCCACGAGGCTCAGTTGCTCATAACCGTAGGTCATGGCGGGGTGTGATCGGTCGGGAGTTTAAAACAAAGTTACATAGGGTAACTAAAGGAACGGACTACCCTTTCGTTTGG